AAAACACAATTTAAATGAATACGTTTGTGTGTTGTATTGTCAACTGGACTGTGTTTAAACGTCAGCATATTGTATAACGTATTAGGCATATTGTTATGTTTGTTTGGGTGCTGCGCGGTCCCAAGTGATAGCAAATCATAAGTCCAGGGCAGTTTCGGCTTGCTAGGCTGGTGCATGGAACCATCTAGAAGAGAAAAATCCAAATAAAACAAATTCTGCCTAGCATATTGACTTTGATGGACAAAGAATGTGTAAGTAAATCTAAAGGCTGAAGTAGGAGTAACGGGTCGTAGAACAGTAACATTTCATTATGCATTTCTTAACTTAATTAAGCTGAAGAAAATCTACATCAGCTCCACACATTCCCTCCCATAACCTCGACATGTGTTATTTATTCCTCTACACATATGAAAAATCAAAGCAAACCACATCATCCCAGTATTTTCAATATTCATGGCATATACTACAGAAATATAGCGAGCCCAACGTACAGAAAACCACGCCTCCTGTATTGATCTCATTACTCCTCGCGTGGCTGGTTAGTAGACTGCTATCCCAAACGTCTTGAGTTCGAATCTCATAAAAAATGTGAAGGAAGTCACGCAATGCTCTAATCATTGTATGCAATGAACAAGAAACAGTTGAACACTACTTCCTCTAACCTCTGCATCTCTCTCTCTCTCTCTCTCTCTCTCTCTCTCTCTCTCTGATTTCATTGTTTATTATACAAAAACACAACAGCAAAATCCAAGATACAATGTAATTTTTGACAAGTCCATACCAATTATTTTACTAATATACAATTGATTATTTTTTTTTTAAATGTGAGGAAATGTATTGCCATACCCACATTGTGTTAAAATCACAACAACCATTTCCCATTACTATATACAAGCTCTATGTATTTCATTAAAAAATTAAATTAATTACACTCCCTATAACAACCACTTGCAAAAACAAACTATTTTATTCCCTACCATCTCATTTTATCTAAATCCTAATTACCTCATACAATTACTTAAAGGTGATTACACTCCCTCACACATGTGTATCACCAAACTATTTATATTCCTTACCATCATTAAAAATGTATATATAATCCCATGGGCATCTTATACACTACTGATTAGTATCACGAACACTCCAGATTTATAAGTATCACTTAACCACATTTTTATCACGTATCACAAACTACATGTTATAAATGTGCGTCACAATGCAGTAAGGTATACATTTAAGTTTAATTTAATACAGCATGTCATTTATTTTAAATTAGTTTAAAATAAATCAATAAAACTCATTAATATAGCTTTCCATTATTACACTATCATCTACTCTTTGTTTGATGATATCTCTAATAAAGTATTGAAGATTTCAGCTCCAATAATTTCCGAAGTTTTAACCTATGTCTATAACCTCTGTATTGCCAAGCATTATTACCCGACACATTTTAAGCATGCTAAGGTTATACCACTACACATAAAAGGTAACATCCAAGATGCTAATAACTACAGGCCAATTTCTATACTTTCTTCCCTCTCCAAGCCACTAGAAATACATATAAACAAATGCATGTCAAACTACCTAGAAAAGCTCAAGCTTTTCCATAGTAATCAGTCTGGGTTTAGAAAGTTTCATTCTTGTCACACTGCTCTGATTAAGATGAATGAAAACTGGCTTAAAAATATTAACAAAAATCTACTCTGTGGCTCGCTGTTCGTCGATTTTAGAAAAGCCTTTGATTCTATCGATCACACCATACTTCTTAAAAAAACTAATTCCATACAAATTCCACGACTCTACAGTTAGGTTACTTCACTCTTTTTATCTAACCGATCTCAACGCGTGTTTCACCTTAATACCATCTCTTCACAGAAATATGTCAATATAGGGGTTCCACAGGGCTCAATCTTAGGTCCTTTACTTTTTTCTTTATACATTAATGATCTTCCATTACACATTGACGCTGGTCAGTGCGAGATGTTCGCTGACCATACTTCTTTACATGTCTTTGCAGACAGTGCTGTGTCACTCAGTTACAAACTTCAAACGTGTGCCAATCAGCTTGCTACTTGGACATAATTTACCAAAATGAAACTTCAACCCGATAAAACCAAGTCAATGTTTATTACAACTCATCAGAAACGCCTTCGTCTTCCATCCAACGCATTACGCATTACTATAGACCAGTGGTTCCCAACCTTTTTCGAGTGGCGACCCCCTTTTATAAAAAGTAAGTGACCCGCGACCCCCATAAAATTAAAAGCCAAAATTAGTATGGACATTAATAAGGACTAAAATAAGATTTCCTATAAGACATTCAATATGAACTACTCTTGATAACTGTTTCAATACGATGAGTAAAATTGCATGCTATTTACTAAACATTCGCGGTTAAGTTATTGTTAACGCCAACCTATGTCATTATCAACATTAAATGTATTTCTTAATTTTGTTTTTGAAAATTGTTTTTGTGTTGAAAGTCGATTCTCGAAAATACGTTTGGGTATGAATGGTGAATACTACACCAAAATTATGTGTGTAGTTTTTCATCTTACGCGGAATCATTCTGCAAATCAAATAATTCATCTTGTAATTCATCGGGAATGCTGGCAACATCAAGGGAAGAAGGGAATGTGTCATTCTTCTTCTTTCTACTCAGATAAATGGGCCGCAGTTCGTTTTCAAGAGATTCAAGATGCCCAGAAATCGCTTCTTTCACAATTTTAATTATCTCACAATCAGTTTCATCTACCACACTGCAGAGTTTCTCAAATTTACATTTCCAAGATTTATTTTCTTCGCCAATTCTGCAGCTTTGATAAAAATGCCCCGAGACTATCATGGAAAGTGATAATATTCGTTCATTTTCCCTGAAGCTTCAAGTTAAGCTTATGTTCAGAGTTTCTTCCAGGCATCTCTTCGGGCCACCCCGAATTTTTTTTACCGCCCCCCCCCCCCCCCGAACGAAATGAAATTTATATAATTTATATAGAAAATCTATACTTTTAACAGTGTCCGCCCCCCCCCCCCCCGAAGAAAGTCTACCGCCCCCCCCCCCCCAAAAAAATTTCAAGTGCCCTCCCCCCCGGAGAAAAAGTCTGGAAGAAACACTGCTTATGTTGATGTTCGATTGTATCTCTCCAACCACTCTGGGTCGTTTTAAGTATACCAAAAGGTCTTGTTTCCTTTGCACTCCCAAGAACAATTTGATTTCAAATTTCTATTCAAAAACACGATTCACAACAATTCGTTTGACAGCCAGCGTACTGTAGTGTAGAAGATCAGAACCTCGTGATCTATATTGTCTTTGTTCAGTTTTTTAAAGGTTCCAGATTTAATATAATGTACGACTTTTACTAGAAATGGAGTCTTGATGGAGAGGGCATACTGGTGAATCATGCAGTGGTTAGGGAGCTTTATCTTTTATGTTTTCAGAAAGTCCAATTTTGACCTAAACATAGATAGTGCACCATCCGTACAAACCCGCACAGCCGTTTTTAACCCATTTTAGTCATCAAATTTAAAAAAAAAAACGTATTTATTTTCTCCACGCTATCTTCACAAAATAGCAACTCTTCTTTGCTATCATCTGAACACGAAGTCACGTCTGTCGATTTATCAAATTGAAAAGCAAACAATGGTGAACGCTTGATTTCATAAAAAATTTGTTGTTTAACATCTACGGACATGTCTGCTATAAGCTGCTGAATAGTATTATTAGACAGAGATATTTGTTGCACCTTTACTGCACTGGAATCCCCAAGAGTTAATTTAACCATCTTCAACATGCAGAGGTTGATGAGATTTTCTCCTACGGTGTTTTTTTTGTTTGGCACTTTCTATCGGGACTTCATTTGATGCTTGCCCTAATGCTGTGTTTCCTTGGTGAAAACTTCCTGTTCGATCAAGTCTCTGGCGTTTGCAACTATCTTCATGCCGACGAAAGAACTCCATATCTTTTTTGGTGTGTTCAGAATAACTTGTCTCAAATGACGTTTTAGTTTTGAAGATTTCATAAACTCGTGACTGAGAACAACTTTATATAGTACTCTTTGCTTCTTCTCTATTCCATTTCCAGTGATGTTGGTAAAGCCGAATTTTAGATATTCTTCTAAATATTTATGTTTTGTTTCTCATTAATAAGGTTTAATATACTAGTTGGCGACCCCCCAGAAAGCCCTTCGCGACCCCCAGGGGGGTCGCGACCCCCAGGTTGGGAACCCGTGCTATAGACAATACAAACACTGAACAGGTTGATAGTTACAAATGCCTAGGATTGTTTATAGATCACAACCTCACTTGGTCCGATCATATTCATTTTCTAAGAATGTCTTTATTAAAGACGACGTTTCAATTAGCAAGGATAAAGAACTTTCTCGACTATAGGAGCAGGCACGTTTTTTATGAAGCTTTTATTCAATCTAGGTTGGATTATGCTTCTATAGTGTGGAGCGGCAGCTTTATAACTAAGCAGCGTCCTCTTCTATCTGTACACAAAAGTGCTATAAAACTAAACGTTACATATCAGCAAATACTGCCTTTATTAGATTGTGGAATATCTGAATGTTTTTTTTTTAGCAAATACAACAAAATACAACAAATACAAATCTCATACATTTAATAAAATGTGTATAAACGTTGTTTATACCATGGCATGCGATCAGAACAATTTAGCTGGTTTTTTTAAAGCAATAATACATTTTATTTCTAAAATACTTATCACTGTCATATGTATATCAGTTTTTTTTTGTATACATTAGTTAAAAGTCAATGAATATTGTATTATATAGAAACCCAAATGTAATTAAAAAAATCATAATCATTCTCTATTTGTTTATTAATATTTTACATGTGTAATGCGAAATTTTAATTGACACAAAAATCGTTCGCGCCTGTTTGAAATGAAGACCGGATATTTGTTTGTTAAATTTAATTTAGCACATACGGAACAATTTAGCACACTGATAAATTCAAATAAATTAGAAAATCAAAACAAATGTCTGTTACACATTTTTATTTTGTACTGGATCTGCCTTTTTAAACTGGATATGTATTCTTTTAATTCATTTCCTGTAATAAAAACAGAGACATAATTATTATGATGAACATAATGATAGTACCAAGCAAACGCATTCATTTTTTATTATTAATAAATAAAATAAAAAAAAATAATAATAAAGAAGAGACGTATTTAAGACTTTTTTTAATAAAAAAAAAACAACAAGCAACACAACAAATGTATACATAAAAAAAGGTTAAACTTAAAAAAAACACATAAAAGCAATCTTAAAAAAATATTTTCTTGATCATACTTTTTTGTTCCCGGTACTGGCTTGCATAATAATGCGTGTTGTCGTTTTTCATCGCTGAAATTTATAGATAAATGGTTATTAGTCATATAGATTTAAATTTAAACACGTTTTTATGATAAGTTTATAATATATATCACGTTGCCTGTTTAGTCAGGGCACGTTTAGCTTTACTAGTCTAGCTGTCTATACTTAAGTCTTGTTAATGGAATATTTTAAGAGAGCCTAAGCGATAGACGGACAATGCGTCAATGATGACTTTTTGTTGTTATACAGATGATATCTCATATACTGTTTGAATAGGCTGAACTATTTAAATTAATTTCTCGACGGTTTAGATTTCTTTAATGTGCTGCCATTTTTTTTTCTTTTAGTAAATTGCCACTTTAAAATATAAACGATGTTTTAAGCAGATAATTTTATTTTCCTTTTGTGCAAGGATTGTTTTATTTTTGTAATAGTTTAGTTGCACTGTTGACACATAACAGAAAAATACAATCTCCAAAATAAAAAATGGCAGTTAAGTATTTTAATTTAATATATCATTTTAGTTTAAGTACATTTAATAATGAAAAAAAAATGTTATTTTAGTTTACGTAAATTTGTTAATAATAAAATAACCAACATTTCGCAAGTATAATCTTTGCAGCAATCGCTATCATGATCGCATGCGCCATTCCACGTTCTACAACAACTATTTTGAGAGAAGAAAAAATGAAGCGTGAATTATTTTAGTTGTATAATCTGTGTACAATTGGTCTTTGGATATATTGATTTTTGATTATACGTGATCCGTCAAGATGATAAAATCAAACTATATTTACATGTAAACATTTGATATTTTCTCACAATTATTACATCACGAGAATTTAGTATTTTTATATAAACGAATAGTATCAAAGTAAGGTACTTAAGGATTAAACTTTAAAAATTCTTTTTTTATGATTGTGTTAAAAATCATATTTCAAGAAGAAACTTAAAGATAACTTACCCTTCTGAAACAGCTACGAGACTCGCGAGACATACCAGAAGAACTAGTACTACAGGCTTCATTTTTATGAGCTGCAAGAAATATCATTTACTTTTTATACTTCTTACACAAAAACTAATAGTTCTATGCTTCTAAACGTGATATTTTTAATTCATAAAAACAATAATAATATACCATATACTCAAATAATTCTGTAAATACATGTAAATCTGTAAATACATGTATTACACATTTTAGTTTTCAATTATTTTCACATTGGTTATAAAAATTATATGAAAAAATATTAATTATCCAAAAGTAAAAACTAAAATGAAATCCAACTATACATTTCAAAGTTAAATTACTGCTTTCAAGAAAATGGTTTAAGACATATAGTTGTGATGTTTCTGTCCAGACACGCTTAATATTTATGTTAATCAAAACGTGGGGGATTCCTATTGGTTGGTGTAAAAAAGCTTAGTCATCAATAAAATTCAAATAAAGTACGTTTACATGTATGTATTTTCTATTTTGTATACGTGGCAACAAGCAATTTAGATGGTAATGACATTTAGGAGTGTAGAAACTACTTCGATTTAAAACTAGATGATAATACTTCTAATCAGTAGTGTAAGGAGCAAACCATATATCGGAAATGTTATACCGAAATGTACTTAACATGAATTTAAAAAAAAAATAGTTATTAGCTTAGCGCCCACGATGCGAAGGAGTGGTGGCAGCACGTGCTATGGATTAGGTTTAGGGTGGTCTTGATATTCTTTCATCACTTACCTTGTGTATGAGTCGCTTTGATGTGGATTTTAATATCCCTCTAGTGCAACGCGAGCGTGTCGAAGCATAAGAGAAACCTAAACCAGTGTCACAATGATTATCCGACGAAAGCTGAAAACTAACAAAAATGCAATGATTTAGAGACATTTACGAGCATTTAGATTTCCCTCTGTGCATTTTCTTAGTGAGATCAATCCTTATTAAACATATTCCAATTTTAAGAAACAAATAAAAAAATAAAATATTTAAGGCCTGGCATAATACAGTAAAAACTAAATTAGATATATTGATTGTGTAACCTAAAATCGAGTTACTCCAATCGACCTAACACACATTTAACAAATGATGTAAGTCTATGTATCGAATGTATTATCGAAGATGGTCTTGGAACCTAATAGAAACAAACAACAAATATCATTAAAGCTAAGGCTAAAAGCTTTTTATTATTATTGTATTATTATAGCCTAGATATTAAACCTATAATCAAGCTTGTCCGACTGACCAGCCATCTAATTTTAGGTTAAGCCTTGACCCGTGAACGACATATACATATATTTTAATAAGCGTCGCTGTACCTGCAGTTAAAATTCATCTTAAATGAATTTACATGCCATATTACATAAACTGCTGCTGAGGTTAAAGGTGTAGGCTAATAAAAATCAAGCTGTCACACTACTGTAATGTCTGATTTCTGCGCGCGCGTACATTTAGAATGTAGGTATTACGAGAATGTAAGTGTAACTTAAAGTATATCTCACTTTAATACATCCAGGGAGTAAAATAGATTTGTCCAGGAAATGATGTCTATTCGTAAGTGGGTGTAGGAGAGAGAAAAAGTGGGGCGGATTAAGCTTGGGCGGAGCCCCCGGGCTGAAACTTTTTCGGGGGCCCCTGATATATATATACACGTGCTCTGCCACGGTAAATCTTTCTTTAAATGTAGGCTACCAACTTGGGAGCTGAACAAAACAAACAAAAACACAAATTAAACACAACCACAATACAACCACAACCACAACACAACCACAACACAACCACAACACAACCACAACACAACCCCAACACAACCCCAACAGAACGACAACACAACCACATCACACCACAACACAACCACAACACAACCACAACACAACCATAACACACCCAAAAAACAACCACAACACATCCATAATCATAACACACCCACCACACAGCCAAAACACAACCACAACGCAACCACACACTACCACAACACAACCAGAACACAACCACAATACAACCACAACCACAACACAACCCCAACACAACCACAACACAACCACAACACAATCACATTACAACCACAACCACAAAGCAACCACAACACAACTACAACACAACCAGAACACAACCACAACACAACCACAACACAATCACAACACAACTACAACACAACCACAACACAATCACATTACAACCACAACCACAAAGCAACCACAAAGCAACCACAACACAACCACAACACAATCACAACACAACCACAACGGGAACAGGGCATTTCCCCCCTGTCAATTACCCCCGGATATTTCCCCCCCCGACATTAACCCCCAGAGTAATTACCCCCCTGTTAATTACCCCCCTGTCGATTACCCCCCGCCCAGTAGGACATTACCCCCCCCCCCCGGGACAGGGTTAGAGTTAGGGTTAGGGCTAGGGCTAGGTTTAGGGTTAGGTTTAGGGTTAGGTTTAGGGCTAGGGCTAGGGCTAGGGCTAGGGCTAGGGCTAGGGTAAGGGTTAGGGTTAGGGTTAGGGTTAGGTTTTAGGGTTAGGGTTAGGGCTAAGGTTAGGGGTATGGCTAGGGCTAGGGCTAGGGCTAGGGTTAGGGTTAGGGTTAGGGTTAGGGTTAGGGTTAGGGTTAGGGTTAGGGTTAGGGTTAGGGTTAGGGTTAGGTTTAGGGTTAAGGTTAAGGTTAAGGTTAAGGTTAGGGTTAGGGTTAGGGTTAGGTTTAGGGTTAGGGTTAGGGTTAGGGATAGGGTTAGGGTTAGGGTTAGGGTTAGGGTTAGCGTTAGGGTTAGTTTTAGGTTTTAGGGTTAGGGTTAGGGTTAGGGTTAGGGTTAGGGTTAGGGTTAGGGCTAGGTTTAGGGTTAGGGTTAGGGTTGTGTCTAGCTTTGGTTTTTGATTTTGTGTGAAGTTTTAGGCTAAGGTGGATGCTTAGGTTTTGGCCTTTTTCTTAAGGTTTGGATTAAAGTAGTATATATGTATAAAATTCTAGTTAGAGTTAGGATTTTAACTTGAGAGGGGGGGGGGGGGTAATTCTCCGGGGGGTAATTGACAGGGTGGAAATGGACAGGGGGGTAATTGCTCCGGGGGTAAATACGGGGGGGGGAATGTCCGGGGGGGGAAATATCCAGGGGGGTAATGTCCTGTAGCCACCACAACACACCACAACACAACAAAGAAGTCTATTTGCGCACTTATCTCACTCTCTCTGCCCTCAAAATATTTTCACGGTGTATGAAATCAATTTCTTCAGCGATATATGAAGAACTCGATGCGGCCTTTTGTTGAAAGAATATCTTGTGTGCTTTAAATGAATAAACTAAATTTTATTTGAACAAAGAAAATAAAAATAAAAGCATATTCTATCGTAGAAACACACTTTTAATTATGCAACCAGTAAAGTGTGTTTATGGTTGTGACAAGAACACATTAAAAATTGTGTCATCTTTCTTTTTACTTTCTCGTATATACGAAGTATAGAGCAAGTATTGTAATCGTGCAAAAAAAAAATCGAGATTTTTTACAAATCTCGACGTTTTACACCTCACTGATACGGAAAAACATAATTTTGCAATTGTCCGTATGTCTGTGTGTCTGTGTGTGTGTGTGTCTGTCTGTCTGTCTGTGTGTAAACACGATAACTTGAGTACCGTTACAGCTAGGTTGATGAAATTTCATATATAAGTATTTTATCAAAATCGTAGATACTGATCAACTTTTTAGCGATTTCCGATAACCGGAAGTGGTACTTTTCCTACTTTGAATTTTTCAAAAGCCTTTAACTTGAGTACTATTTCAGATAGATAAATGAAATTTCACATGTAAGTAAAAGATCTAATTCTCTACCTTCTGTTAAATTTTGAGTAATTTCCGTTGACCGGAAGTAGTAATTTACGCTACTTCCGATTTCTCTAAAAACTAATGTACATTTTTAAAGTACTAATAATATTGCGCACTATTATGCGCTTTTTTATTTGGCGTTCACTTGGTGTGCAATTAATTTGTCTACGAGATTTTATTCTATTTTTAAAACTTTAAGAATTTAAAATGGATTAAAAATCATGTCTATAGCCCGAGTTCCCATCCCCTGTTATTTTATATAAGAATATTCGAGAAAGTTTAGGGGAGATCACTCCCGGTTTATTTAGAATAAATAAACTTCCTGCATCCTGATTAAAAACTCCATCACACTTACTTCTAGATTAAGAAAACGACACGAAATAAAGGTAACTAAAGACTATAATGAAGTGTATGGGACGGCGTGGCCTAGGGGTAGAATGTTGAAAAAACACTTTTAATTATGTCACCGGAAAAGTGTTTATAGTTGTGGCAAGAACGCAATAAACAATGGCGTCATCTTCCTCTTTGAGAATATAAAAAAATGAACTATTACATTCAAATATGATTAGGATCTCTAGATTGGGACGTACGCTATGAAATGTATGCAATTTCTCGGCCAAAAGTAATACAAATTCTTTTGAAAATCAACAGAAATTCAATTGAACAGCCGGGTTTTTAAAGGAATCAATAAATTCTCTTAATCATTGTGTTCATTTAATATGGTATTGTGTTGACTAAAAATGTTTGTAATATGGTTTTTCTATTAGGTATTGGTAGACCATGTTTTTTTTTTATGTTTCGGATTTTTAGCTATTTATTTAATTCTTAGCTTTGTCACTAATACCTTTCAATGTGTAGTAAAGCACATTGCGTTTTGACCAATACATATTTTATACAATATTTTTTTTGAAACAAAAGTTTAAAATTAAAAATATATAGATCTTTAATTCACGTGTAACTGGTACCGACGGCTAGTTATTCTTTAAAAAGCCTAGATCTCGAAAACAGATAAACTCTACTTTATCTGCTATGTGTTGTTTTTTTTTTTCAGCACGATCGGGAAAGATGATGATAGTGCAGTTTGTAAGTTTAGAGTATAGAAGTTAATAAACTACTTAGGTGCCAGGGAACCAGGCTGTAGATTGCTGTAGCCAGAGGACCAAGTGCAGATCCAAAATGGTTTGTGAGTACACCCATCTTTGATGGGTGCAGCTACATGTGCGACAAAAACACTTGAAATTTCCAGACAATTCTCTGGTTCATTTAAAATTTGAACATCGATCTACTTAGTCACTCTATACTTAGTCAGTTATTTCTCAAACTGCTATTGAATGGTTCATTCGATTTTTTAGTAATGGAAAATCTTAGATTAAAATAAATGATAATGGTCTCGACATAATGTCTTTCAAGATTAAACGGCTTAGAATATATATATATATATATATATATATATATATATATATATATATATATATATATATATATATATATATATATATAACCTAAAAATAATGGATTATTCAAAATTGAATATATCTAATAGGTTATATTGAGCTATAGCTTTCGATCA